AAGAAAGAAAGAAAGAAAGAAAGAAAGAAAGAAAGAAAGAAAGAAAGAAAGAAAGAAAGAAAGAAAGAAAGAAAGAAAGAAAGGCTTCTTGCTCCTCGTGGCCTGGGGCTACCCCCTGGGCTCTTTACTGCCGGAGCTCCTGTGCACTCCTGCAGGAAATGACCCCTGGTTACAATACAGGATACCAAAAGCTGGTGTAATTTCTCCTATCCAGTTTCTCCACCCCTGCTTCTTTCCCCATTTCCAATGCCTTTTCTGGTCAGGTCAGATCAACTCCCCCCCTTCTTCTATGCTGTTCTGGTTCTAGGGGGGCAGAAAGCCAGGCTAGAGGTCCAGCCTTTTTCACTCCAGACGGGGGGGAATGATCACACTGGTTGCTCACGCCCGAATGAGGGGGAGCAGCCGGCTAAAAACTTGAGAGCCCTCTGCAGTCTTGATGCCCTTTGCTTGACGCAAAGCTGCCCTTGGCAAAACACACTGCCTCGGGAGCTAATCCTCAGGAACACTACGAGGCTTACTCGTGAGCAGATGTGCTTAGGATAGGGCTGTAAGTGCCCATTGTCTCCCCTCTCTTCTTTCTCTCCTCCCTGCCCCCAAGGCCCATGTGGGCTTATCCAGTCCACACACGGAGAGAGAGAGTGGTCACATTGACTCTGTTTCTCCTCCCCACAGCCACAATATCTTTTCCAGGGAAACCAAACACTGATGCCTATCGCCCCTTCCCTGTGGTTCCCAGAAGGATGCAAATCAGAATGCTTTCCTTTGCCTTTGTCACTGATGGAGGAGGGAAGAGAGAAGGCAAGCACTATAGGTGGCCAAGGGAAATGTGGCTGGCCATTGTCTACAAGAGCTTGAAGTGGCTGGTGCCACCCTGCTACCTTCTCTCCTCCATTGTTCTGGCGAGGAAGAAAGGGAAGGGGCTTTGGAGTGCATACAGAAGCACCACCCAGGAAGGCCCTGGTGCGAGGTAGGGGGGAAGAGAGAAGGCAAGAACTATAGGTGGCCAAGGGAAATGTGGCTGGCCATTGTCTACAAGAGCTTGAAGTGGCTGGTGCCACCCTGCTACCTCCTCTTCTCCATAGTGCTGGCGAGTAAGAAAGGAAAGGGGCTTTGGAGTGCCTACGGAAGCACCATCCAGGAAGGCACTGGTGTGCTCTGTATGGCAGCTTTGGCTTCCTTCTAGAATTTCGTTGTCCTGCACTGAGCCAAAAATCTGTGCACTAAGGGCTAAAAATGTATGCGCCAGCACACACAAGCACAATTTAGTAGGAACACTGCCAGGAATACTGTTGAGGTATTTTTCAGATATACATTCAGACGGCAAATATCCAAACACACATCCCTATATAAGACACTGTTTCAAAACTGGAGAAATGACAGAGGAAAGGAAAAATAATTATAGCAAGTAAAACTCAAAGTACTTGGTATGTGAAATCCTTTTTATCTCCTTTATAGCAGTATATACTCAAAAGTGTGGTAAATAGCCAGAAAATTAAAACATTAGCTTTAAAAGTCAAAATTAAGACTTTTATCTTGAGTTATTTTTCCCCAGTTCCACGTGGATCCCAAAATATAATGGTTGCAAAAAACCACAAAGCTTATGGTGGGGAATGGAACAGTAGACAGTTCCAAGATTGTTCATTTCTGTTGCATCTAGGTGGAATGAGGGTCTGTCTCTAAGTATTATACTTTAATGGCAGCCTAACAAAACTATCATGTTTAAATTTGCTTGCTTTCTAGACTTTGGCCATTCAGAATGCAAGGGTTGTAACAGGTGACATCCCTGCTATTAACAGCACTATTTATGTTGTTGATCAGGTAAGTGAATAAAAGTGTACTGGATTTATGCTTATTTCTTTTGATCCAATTTAAGTGATTTATAAAGTCTAATGAGAGATACATCAGTCTGAAAGGTATCTTAATACCGAGCACATCTAGAGATTTTTGTTGTTAAGCAGATGCTACGCTGCCATTAAAGCTATATGAAAAGTTTGTTTCTTGGGTCCTTAGGGACAGCCCCATCTTAACTAAAACCATTTGGGGGGGAAATAGTTTCACTTATTAATGATCTTCTTCCAATTCCATTTATTTTTATTTTCCCTGAGATCAGGTTTTGTTACCACCACTTGGCGATATCCCCCCACAGCGTCCAGGTCTGGAACAGCAACTTAACATGACACTCGCTTTCAGTAGATTCAAAAGTCTGCTTGAGGTATGCACCCACCACTGACAGTATCTAATAATTTGAACCCACTAACTGCTGTACTAAGAAAACCTCTTTATCATGGGGAATTTATAGTGCAAGAGCAATGCGATAAGGGATACAGAAGCTCTCTTTAAAGGGAAAATCAATTTTCCCTTTCAGTTTTCCCATTAAAGAGAGCTTCTGTTCAAACCAAGTGATAATTGGTCACCCTTGTTTCCAAAATCTCTCTCTACCAAGGACATTTTCTTCAGGCTTAGGGGAAGGATTTTATTATTTATTTACAAAACTGGAATATTTGTAACCTATCATGCAAGGGAATTATGAGTAATTGTTGCGAAGTGAAGGACAGTAGCAATACACACACATTTACAGAGGGGAAGGGAATGCCTTTAAGACCAAATCAATTTCTTTACAACTCTGTAAACCAGCATTTCTGAAACTGGAACCTGGGAACCATGTGGTTGGTGGTGGGGAGATGGGTGTCTGTGTGTTTTCTAGGGATCCACAAGGCCATGGTAAGGACCAAGGGTGAGTCTCCCTCATGCTCATCTTGATCATGCAAAACTGGACTGCTCTCAGTTTTCTAGGAAAGAGGGCAAGGGACCTCACCTCAGGAGATGGGGAAGGGATTGCCTTCCCCTGTTTTGGAACTTCTAGGATCAACACCAACTGCAATTTCATAGCTTCTAGATTATTTCAGAGCCATAACCAGTAAACATTCCGATTGGCAGCTCAGCCCTGGGAAGTTTAAATGACTGAGAGGAGGTACGGTCCTACTCAGCATATTTCAAGTTTAAAACTGAACTGATTCACTACTCTGTTTTCCTGCCCAGAAGATTTAACCTGATATATCCCATTCAGCATCCATAGATAATAGCCAATTGTGGTTTCCAATGAAAAATTGAAAATTCAGGTTTTGTCTTTTTCTATTTCCATTAGCAGTTCTGAACATTTTGCCAGGCCCCTTCCTGCCCCTGTTCAGCCAGCCTCTGACTAGAAGTTATTCACCGATAAGAAAGTGTCTTGCTGTCTCCAATGTGGTCAGATTGATAAGAATTTGGGTCAAGGGTTTTTGAATTGGGGCCCAGTAGAATCAGTAACCCTCTGAAGTTTAACTTTGTAGGCCATATACAGACAATACAAAAAAATTACTTTTTTAAAAAGTCAACTTGTTTTTAAAGTAATAACTGGTATGATTCTCATTGTACTATTTTGAGGACAGTAGAGGATGGAGGCCTCCACAGGGCATGTGTCACTTGCTGTACTCTTTGTAAGGGGGATGTACACTGTATAGCAGGCACACATAAAGAAATAGGGGATGGCTTAGGGGTTTGTAGAAGTTTTAAAATAAAAATCGGGGGCTCCCAAGTTGCTGCTGTTTGAAAAACATTGCTTTAAACATTTCTGGATGCCTGTTCCAGTCAGATGTTTTTATTTCTCCAGTGATTTTTCTGTTCCTCACTTTGGATTCTTTGCCAACCATGTCTGGTCGCTTATTTTGTTCTTCTGAAACTTTCAGCAATATCAGTTGATTGGAGAGATTGAGTCTTCGGAAAAATATACCATTTTTATCCCAGGAAATAGTTCAGTTGAGAAATATTGCAAAGAATTTAATATTACACAGTTGGTAAGTTGTGTGTGTGTGTGTGTGTGTGTGTGTGTGTGTGTGTGTGTGTGATATCAGGTGTATTTATTGAACTTACCATTTTTGGAGGACTGGTGGTGGCAGGATGCCATATCATTAAATCAGATTGTGGATTCAGATTTCCGAAGCCAAATTTTCAACTAATAAGTAAAGGTCTGCTTCATGCATTACAAAAATCCCTACCCTGAAGGCATGTTGCATCCAAGTACTCCCCCCAAGAATGTGACAAACCATATACAGTGTAGTGAGGATCTGTAGACTTTTGTAGTATGTGAGGTAGCAGTCCAAACTAAAGACAGAATATGGCTGCTGGTTCAGTTTACAAAACAGATGGTCATAAATGTAATGAAAGTATAAATTAGGATTAATTTATATAATACAACATTCTCATGTCTGTCCTGAAATTGTCCTGGGAAGCTGTTTGGTTATTGTGAAAACTGTGTGTAGCCATGTAAGTTAAACAATGTTTCAACAGAGAAAATAATGTCTCCTGAGGACATTTCAGGATGCGAAAATGGTATGTATGGTGGAGGCCCCTTTCTCCAAACATAGTTGTGATCAGAATTGGGCTTATGTGTGTCTGTGAGGCACAGAATTCTCATCACATTTCTGATATAAAGTCCTTGTTGGTGGCCATATGGATTGTGTGAATTGACCGTTAGTATTATAGTGATGTAATAATCTGATCCTCTACCCCCCTCCTCAACTCCATGCCTGAGACTATCTGAAAGGTGGTGTGGATCAGTTTGTGTTTCTGTGACAGGACTTGCCCCACTAGCCTCCCTCTCTCTTGCCTTTCTTCAGTAGTCGGCATCACTCAAGCTTTGTTTGTCTTTTGCTATCCATGGCTTGAGATACAGATACAGGCTAACTGCTTAACATCCTCTCCTCCCTGGCCAGCTGTCTGTTGCCCAATCAGGAGTTTCTGGTCTTATGCATGGACAAGAAGCCAGGCTCCTGGGTGAGGCCCTTTGACCACAATCTGAGATCTCTAAAATGAAAAGAAATTTATTTACTAAAATACAATCTCAATTCAGCAGAAGGGGCACTGGGAAACACAGGATCAAAACACTACAGAGTGTTACGGAATGAAGAAAAGAAATAAAAAGACTAACAGAGTTGTACAGTCACTGGTGTTACCTTGGCATTCTCCTTGTAGAATGGAAACAAACCTGCTGGACCTTGGAAAATAGAGGCTAATCAAGATAGACTTCACTACCTTTGTTCCAGGTCCCTGGCTTGTACATTGTGTGCATCCAGACCTTTTAATTCTTCCTGACCCAGCTGTTTGAGTCCCCACATTTTCTCCAATCATATAAAGGTACATGTCCCCCACACCCAGCTCAAGATACCCAAATAGCCATCTCTTTTGCCTTTCCCTGGCAGGTGGGCAAGTGGTCTATCCTGCCTATTTGTCTCCATAAAGAAAAACTCATCTCCACTAGCCTGAAATCTGAGGAGTTTATTGCTTGTTCCCAGGAAAGACTGTTTTCTCTGAGGGCCTCTCTGAGTTTTAATCAAGGTTTCCCACATTCCTCTGTCATCACAATATTCACTCCTCACCTGTAAAACTTGTCCATTCTCTTTCTGTAGTGAATGATATCCAGCAGCAGTTTATTCTTTTGGCTTGCTTGGGAGGCAGACCTATACAAGACACTTAATGCATAGTCTTCGAAGAGTCCTATCCCCCCTCTTGTTCTGGTCTAGCCTACTTGTATAGTCCTGCTTCTGTAATGCAGGAGAAGTAGACTATGAAGCTCCTTATACATTTAGAATATACAAGTGAGGGACCCATAGGGACTTCCAGGGGGCATCTCATTTTCCCATACTTACTATTTTTTCTTCTCTGAAAACCCCCCAAAGCCTCTACCCTTTCCAGCTTCCTTCTCACCTTCCCATCCACTAGCCTTTATCTGTCCTCCTCTCTTCAGCTTGTACCTCCTTCCCCCCCTCAAGAACCTTGCCCTGGGAAAACTCTGGCTGAACTGCACAGTGCCAGTCACTGGGCCAGGCCCAGTTCCATGGTGCTGCCTGGGCTGGGTCCAGTTGTGTGGTGCCATTCAGGCCTGGCCCAGTTGCACAGTGGAAGACCTGTAAGGACTTGTGGGGGGTGGGGACACAACATACTTTCCCGTTTCCTCCTCCCCACACTATTTTCTCATTCCTACCTTCTAGCAGCCGCCATATCCTCATCTTTCTCTCTTTCCTTCTTTCCTTCCCACCCACCAATCTACCTTTCATCTGCATCCCATCTTCAGCTATATTTATGGCTTTCTCCAGAGTATAAATGAGCTTCCAAGGCGGAGTGCAGATTTGAACCTGGGTCTCCCGGATCCTAATCTGAAACTCTAACCACTACACAACACTAGCTATTGTGAGGTGGCTGCCTGGGTGAGTCATGCAAGTCATGTTGTAGAAAACCTGGGGCTATTCTGAAGTTTGTAGAAAGATACATCTTTTATGTTTGTGGCCCCAGCCTCTGGATTTAAGTATCTGCAAGTTGGGCCATGTCAAGAATTGGATTATATTGATATTAAGCAATAATTAATAAAAGTGTGCTTGTAAAATACTTGCTGAGCAATGCAAAGCAACTGCTGAAGAGCCTCTTACTTTAATGCACTTAGATAATCATTAGAATGGATCTAGTTATCAAATAGAATTATTGCTTGCCATTATAGCGTATATTGCTTATATTTGCATAGTTCCAGTTGCTGTCTCATTGATATTGATTTAAAAAATTTAAATAACCAAGTTTTATATCTTGTGGGCTTTGATTTCTAGGATAAAGACACTGTGGAGTACCATGTCATAATTGGAGATAAACTTTTATCGAATGATCTGAAAAATGGTATTCACAAGAGCACAATGTTAGGACTCTCCTATTGGCTGATGTTTTACAAGAATACCACTCAGGTGCGACTGAGTAACAAATTTCACTTCCGTACTATGACCAGTACTTAAATAGGAAATGGTTAATGTGGTAGCATGATATATATTTAATTTTACAAACAATGGGGATTATGGGAAGTAAATAATTTCTGATATATTTGAGGATGTGTTGGATCATCGATGCATCCCTGAAGATGTTTTGCTCATGAACAATCCAATGGGAACAATCCACATTAAAAAAAAATAGTTATCTGGAGGAAGTAAAGTAGAACATCTTGATGGGGAGGGGTTTGGTTCAGTAGCAGAGGGTATGCTTTGCACACAAAAGAGTGCAAATTTAATCTGTGCCATGCCCAGGCAAAAGTCTGAGGGCCTACCTACATGAAACACAGTTCTCAGTGACTCCTCACATTGTTTCATATTTTTGTATTTGTGGGCTGAATCAGACCAGGATCATAGTACACAGGAAGAGAGGGACTTGAAGTCTGAAATGGCCCCAGGGAGCCATTCTTTTAAAATTAGATTAAAAATAGTGCTTCCCCAGGGTCATTTCAGGTCAGGAAAATTTGGCTTGGAGACAAGCCCCTTCACCTAGTCCCACTCCCAATGCAAACTGGCTTTGGCACACTTGAAAACTGAAATCCCAGTGGAGAACCCCCAATACATATCTGATGGAACATCCTTGAGGCAGACCCATACATGACGCAAGGACTGTGTAACTTGTAGTTAGGCCCTCAGATAGCAGGTTTCTGCCTGGAGATCCTGAAGAGCCATTGCCCGTCAGAATAGACAGTACTGAACTAGATTGATCAATGGTATATAGGACATTTTCATATAGACATAGGCTTGCCTGCTGACAGACTCCATGGAAGTTGTATGCATGCTGAGTTGCCCTATAACGTGGAAGAACAATTTTCTAGAAATAAGGTTTTGTAATCCTGGCAGGTTAATAGGAGAAATATCCCCCTTTCCTATGCTCCAACTGTCTAATGCTTGTAAGAACCACTCTAATTTCCTTGTGCTTGCCTCAACCTTTTCCCGTCTCTTTTTATTGCAGGCATTTGTCAACAAAATTCTCTTGGATGGTCAGTTTTTTGAAACAAGAAATGGAATGTTGATTGGGGTTTCTGAAGTTCTCCCAGTTCAGAAGAATCGCTGTAGTACCAATACCACAACAGTGCAAAAGGTAATGCATTGGTGACCTGCCACCTTTGTGCTGCACACATTTGGTCTTTGCTATAAAGTTGAGTGAGGTTAATCTCATTTTGTACTCCTAAAGGTACTTGTTTGAGCCACTCATTGTCTGCTTCTATTGTCTGGCGGCCTTCAAGACTGAATACACTTACACTTGCAGATATGATCTAGTGAGCTGCTACAGTCAGACTTGTACTATGTTAATACTTGGCTAATGAATGACATTTTAATTTACACGTTCTCAATGTGTGCAGTTTTCTTGAGGATTCACAGATGGTTGATTTAGGAGTCAAAAAGCTCTTTACTGGTTCCTCTTACTGAACCAGAAGGCCGTATCACTCCTTCCCAGTTTGTGCTGTCTGTGATATGCATATATGTGCATGTCTTTAAGTGAGCCCTCACAAGCTGGTTTCTGTTTCCCCCCTCAAGGACTATTTGGGAGGGACCTCACCTAGTTTTAGTTCAGTATGTGTTGGTTGTAGTTGCCAGTGTGTGTGTAAGTTTTCCTGTTGGAAGTAATAAAGAATCCTATTGTTGAAGCTGCCAGTTTCCTGTGCACCGAGTATCTGGATAGGTAAGCTTACACTTACACACCAGACTCCAGAGGATACTATACCCTTGTATGGCTTGTTGATGCCTGGGGTCAGTGGAGGAGCTCTTGGTTTTGGAAGCAGATTGTTGCAGTAAGAGTGAGCCATCGAGCAAAAGGCCCAATGGTATATCAAGGATCTTACTACATGCTGTATTACTGCTTTCTTTGGTTTTGAGTTGCTATAATTCAGATACCCTAAAGACTGGAGGCAGTTTGATCTGTCAACCTTACTGATTATCTGCAAATGTTTACCTTAGTCCATATCCTCTCTGGCCTAGACATTGTTAAAACACACACACACACACACACACAAATCTCATAAATTGTATTTCAGGTGTTAATATTTGACAATCACTTGATTAATGTCCTGCATGAAGAGTGTTGGTAGATCTCGATGTCCTGCCAATAAACAGGCCTCTAGAGTACCTAAATCATTTCAAAATTCCTCATGTTGGGCTAAATGAAATTCTCTGTGACATTGGACTCTAACTTTGCTCATGACCTTGTTACCTCCATAAAGCTTCATATGTTGCATAAAGACTGTGCCACAAGACACTGAGGCTTCCTTCTTCCTGCATGCTTGCTTCTTATGATGTATCTGCTGACTATACTGCAATCAATGCTGTGATTCTGATTTGTTTAACATGTTGTGACGCATGCATTGATTTCTCTCCACTGTTCTTCTTTTACAGTCAAGATGTGCTAAATGTAATAAAAAGTTCAAGTGCCCACAAGGATCAGTGCTTGCTGTAAGTCTTGGTTTGCTTCAAAAAATTAATTTATTTTCATGAGATAGTGGCAGTTGGAACAGGTTGCTTCATTTGTCCAGTGTTTTTCCAAAGCTTAATTTAAAGAATCAGAGTTTTTTGGCTAAAATTCTATTAATTTGAGTCACCACTGTATGATTAAGAAGAGAGAGAAGAGATTGGATTTATACCCTGCCCTTCACTACCCGAAGGAGTCTCAGAGTGGCTTTCAAACTCCTTTCCCTTCCCCTGCCCACAACAGACACTGTGTGAGGTGGGTGGGGCTGAGAGAGCTCCGTCAGAAACTGCTCCTGAGAGAACAGCTGTTATGGGTCCTGGCTCAGCCGAGGCTGACTATTCTTCAGACGAGGAAGAGTCACGGAGCAACCCAACCTCCTCCAGAGTCAGCCCAGAAGAACCTTTGCCAGCACCTGAGGGAGAAGAGGCCCCAGCATCTGTGCAGGAGGGGCAGCAAGGAAAAGAGACTGAGGTGCAGTCAGAGGGAGAGTCTGGCCCAACACCCCCAGTTGGAGACACCTCGAGGACAGAGTCCCCACCTAGCTCACCTGAATGTCCCAGACGCAGGGCACACCAGCGTCTGGATGTGCAGGAGAGAAGGAGGAGTGCCAGATTTCAGCTGTTGCAAAGGCAGTGTGAGGGGCTGTGGGTCATAAGCAGCCACGCTCACCTGCCTCGGTGCAGATGCAACCATGTGATCTCAGACCTTGTCCCGGCTGCCAGCCTCCGCTCATCGCTCCTGAGAATGCTGATTGATCTCCTGGCATTCCAACCCCTGGCACTGTTTCTCGGCTTGGTTTGGACTTTGCATCTAGCTTAAGTATATTGTATTCGTGGTGACTGGCCAGAGCCAGCACAACAGCTCTGAAAGAACTTGTAACTGACCCAAGGTCACACCAGCAGCTGCATGTAGAGGAGTGGGGAATCAAACCTGGTTTTCACAAATCAGAGTCCATGCTCCTAACCACTACACCAAACGCATTGGATTGCATCCAAAGAGTCCCTTCTGTGAAGTCTTCATCTGTAACCTTCTCACTTAGCAGAAGGGAATCTTTGGATCCAACCCAATATTTCTTTAACAAACTTGTATATTCTTGGAATAGATAATTTGCTTATGACCTGAATGGGCAGAATTTTGTTTTGATCTGTAGGAATCGGCACCAGAGAATCTCCCTCACTGTGAATATAAGTCTGGAAAGGATAGATTAGTTGGCTGTCATTTCACCTGCATTAAAGTTTCCTTGGTAAGTAAAACTTACTGTTTTGCTATATAAAATGTATTGCTCCTGTCTTGAGTTGCTTTTTGTTTTTTATGTATTTTAAGTATCCTGCATCACTCCTTGGGGCCGGAAGGCAGTATATTTATGTAATTAAATTAAATAAATATATAGCAGCAGCGGCATATAAAACCATCCCGTTTCCGTCCTGGTGATTTCATTATGACTTATACAAGAATACTTACTGCTGTGCTTAAAAAGGTGTGTGGCAGCCAGGTTCTGCCACTGGAGAGTGCCTCTCTAGTCAAGCTGCACAATTTCAAAACATGGCGTCTTTCAACATCTATCCCTTGAAGCTGGTTTAATGGGACCTGAAGGACCAGGCAGTTGCCCTTCACCAGCAACAAGGGTGTCCCAGAACCCACTGTAACATTTCCCAGGAGTGATGCTGCCAATGCTGAAAGTCCACATATGTGAGACTTGAACATCAAAACCTGTTTTATGTATTTTTTCTAATATCCTGGCCTCCCCGCCAAAGCAGGCTCAGGGCGGCTTACATAAACTCTTAAAACACATAAAGCAACACAGAATGTCCATGTGTATTGTTCCCACAATCACTATGCTACAGTCTTGTGTATAATATTTGGTTTTCATGTGTTTCACGATTGCCTTGTATTGTTGCATTACAATGCCATCCTAAGCAGAGCTGACTTCAGTGGACTTAGGAGGGGGTAACGCTGCTTAGGATGGCACTGTTAGAGAGCAATCCTAAGCAGGTCTACTCAGAAGTAAGTTCCATTTTATTCAATGGGCTTACTCCTAGGAGTTCTTAGAATTAGGACCTCTTCTTCTGAATACAGAAGAAGATTCACACATACACACACACACCAAGACAGCCTGGCAGTTAGTGGTAGGAATGAAGCAAGGTCTGCTAAGGGAAAAAAGCTCAGTAGCTCTGTATTGGTCTTTACTGCTTTGTTTTGGAGGATGAAGACGTCTGTGAAAGCTGTTTTG